GTATATTTTAGCATGCGCCACATGACTTGACCTATAATAAGTTGAAATAGACACAGAGCTGATAATTTCGAAATGTTCTAACCTCATTTGCTGTTGAAAGGAAGGTCCAAAGCCGATTTGACGTGTTTCTCTGACCATTCGTCGCACATAAAGTAGAAGTTTGCTTTTGTTTACATAACGTCCGATGTTCATCGCCAACTGTCAACTTATTTAATGGTCGAATACCATGAAAATGTGACCCTCTTTCGACACATATGATCACCATTGCTAAGTCATTTGTAGATAGTTGCTTGTTTTGCACTACACCAAAATATTACGTTTGATCATCATGGGTTGATGGCTTGAATGCTTGCTTGCAGCGATTCCTTGTTCGTCACGCAATGCTGTCATCCCATTTTAGGGGGTAGAGGTAGGACAATTTCTATCCTAATACGTAAGGCTCCGTAAGGCTTGGAACCACTGGGAGCACACAGTCGTGTCGAGTAGGAAGAGATTAAATTAAGAAATGAAAAGAGTGAATAGTTTACCATTGCCCCTGTTGTTATCTTTTACTCGACCATCACTACCTACATGCCCTGCGTAATACTGTAACGCTAAACTAATACGTAGGTCTTTTCGCGCTGTGCAATTATTTTTCGTTTACATGTAATACAGTGGGCTACCCTCGGGGAAATGGGTGGTGACCGCTTAATGGGGCTAGAGGTTGGTGTACCTTGAATATTTAATTTTTCACCATCGGGTTATAAATTTCTTGGTGAACATGGAGTCAATTAAATTATCACTCGTCATGCACCTTCAATTTCAGACTCTTATCTGCCGTCGTCCTTTCCAAAACAAAGTTTTTAAATCTTGGGTGGCCGCTTAATAGTGGTAAAGACAATAATGAAACCCTCATCGGAACGACCAAATGGTGGCCGCGGAGGTAACCGGGCAATAGGTGTTTTATTTACAATATTTTACTGGCAATAATTTTGGACTGTACTGACAAGAGTCCTCTATTTTCTGTTACAAACATACCAATGCCTCGCCACTAAGCAAACAAAATACGCCAAATAAAATTCTTCAACCAACAAGTCAGTTTTGTGAAAAATTATACCCTATTCTAGACCCAAACGCTCTGATTTATATACGCTATCCTTGAGTAAACTGCTTGAAGACCATACCCTTCACAGCGGCACATACCTATGTAGCCCATATATGGCAGTGCCCCCCCGAAATACTCTCGGCTTTCGATAGACACCAGACGTTTTCGGAAGATTGCTGTAGATCGTCGGAAGAGCTACCGAACTTTGCCAAAAAAATAATTAGAGAATGATAAGTAACGTCTAAGTAAGGGACTAGTAAATGCTGCTAATTTACTAGCCAAGAACATTGCAACTTCATGGAATATTCATTATGGCGGAACTTTAAGGAGAAGTCGTTGATTTGTATTACTCAGGTTAGTAGTTACTGTTTGCACCCGTGCTTCACATCTCTTGATTTGGTTTATTTGGTGTTTAGCTGAACACAGAACATTTTCACCACAGTGCAAAATTCTATTATTTCGTAGGCTTAGAATTCCTTTAATATCTTGTTTACGAAAAGAAATAGATTTACTGGTAGCTTCATAATGATAATGAAGTGCAAAACATGCGAGAGCAGCCAGGTAATTTAACCACTGAGAATCAACGGAGTGGCAAGTGTTTTTTTAATTTCTTTTTATTTGTGTTAATTTTTAATTTTTAAATTTTTATATTTTTTTATTTTTATTTTGTTATATTTCTTTCATTATTTTTTGTATGGCAAGTTGATTTTTTAAAAACCTCCTCGATGCGTGGCGAGCAGAGCCAATAAGTCGACATGAGCCTCCTTTGCATCTCAACGCGTGATTATTGTTTGTTATGGGATTTTTAGCGTGGGTAAAAGCTACACCGACTTGTATGGCAACAAGGAAAAGGCCTATTAATTTATTTCCACTTGCAATTACTTCCTGTATTTAGTCGTAAGAAACAAAAACAGTAGCCGACGAAACTATGTATTCACTTCACAACTGAATTGTTTTGAAACATCTCTTTGAGAGCAATCAGTGGACTAAACGACATGTAATACTGATTCGAAATAAAAGAAGAAAAAGGTCGTTAAAGTCGGTTGCGGTTGTCCTCGTGATTTTCTCTTTTGCCCGTAAGAGCATTGACCACTATAAAACAACAACATTTTAACTTTTGAAATTTTACTTGAAGGGCTTAAATTTAAGAGAAGGCCTGTTTAAACCCTGCAAAAACCATGCAATGGAAAAGTTGGGTTATTTAATAGAAACATGGTGTAGCGTTCAATCGAACGGAGACTGTTCAAACGCTTTAAATTCCAAGTTATCGACAAAATGAGGACTTTCATGGCACGAAATGGCAAATTTACTCAACTTAACGGCAAGCATAAAATTGCCGGTAAAGTTGGAGAGAGCTTTACGGGAGTATTAGGCCCCAGTTATATGGTACCCAAGACAACCCTCTCCCTGAGGCGACTTAGCTAGCGTTTGTATGTGAAAACGTTGTCTCTGTAGTCCGTATCAAAGTTGACCCTGCATGATTTTACATAACGAGTCTTCTTCGGTCATTCGATCAAAGTGGGTCTTGGGGAGTTAATTTTCACTTCTTTGATACGAATTTCTACTTTAAATCCTAAATCTAGACATTTTGTGACACTCGCGCCACTCCGAGAATTGTCTCGGTTGGGCGAGCCAAATTGTTTATATGAAGAAAAGTTGTCCCGCCTGCCAGGGTTGCTCTACCTGCCGAGGCGAGATAACTCGCCCACCCTAGTTGTCTCGGCCCCCGACGGGTTCGCGATCCTCTTGTAAACAATTGGTTGAATTTTGCAAAGAAATAGGTGAAAAGTTACCTCGGCTAGGGTAACTTGGGGGGAGGGTTGTATTGGGTAACCGAGACCATATAAATGGGGTGTAAAGTTAAAGTGTAACACCGCCGTAAAGCTCCGTAGAACTACCGTGAAGCCCCTATTAAGGTGCTTTTTACGTTGAAGCATTTAAAGTTCTCTTAAGTCCAAGAGTGTGCAATAGTATGCTTTGCGTTAGAAGGTCTGCACAAAACTAAATGGCTTTATTGACCGTGACTGGTTTCTTGTGAACTTTCCGCGCGTCCCAAGCTCACGGCTCGAGAAAAGCGAAACATTAATTCTCGGACACTTACGTATTTATTAATGAAGGTTCATGAAATGTGAGTCCAAGGCGGAAGGAGCCCTGGTAACTGAGTTTGAACTGACGTGGTGTTAGGTTACACAAGGAACCGTTGAGAATGAACGAAATATCATTGATTCAGAGCGTTACAGATTCTGAAATATATGATCATTCTACAGGTAAGATTGATACAACTAAGTCTACCCATATATGTTCTCTGCGTTTTTTGGCGATTTCTACCGTTTTGTGCTTTTTTTGCCATCACTGGTATCCCAGTCCCTTCATAAGAAGGAAGTAGCCTTGTGAGTGCCCGATCTCCGACAAGCAGGAATCAGCCGGCGGCCCAATATAAAGCAATCATTGACGACGATTTAGTCAAAAGATATGTAAACCGCAACAGAGGGGCAACAGAGCCCAGATGAACAAAGCGATACTTCATGCAAGTGTGCCTCGTTTTGGGAAATCGATCAAATTCTGTCAAAGTTAAGTAGTCAAACCTTTACCATGTATGTTCAAAATTAGTTGACGTTTTGGCTCACAGAAAAATAATATTGCTTGCGATCAGGAGCCATAATCGGGGACGGAGACCGTAAGTCTCGGGATTCGCGCGCACCTATGATATGGGACA